CACAGTCACCATGCTTGTTAGACATCTTCATGCACCTGTGTCCCAAATCTGCTTGCTCTTCAGCTTTATCTGCAGCGCTGCTTCTCCAAATGAACCCAGATTGGCTGGACCAGCCTAGCAAAACATATCTGCTACACTTACTAAAATCTCCTTTGAATAAATATATGCAAAAGTCATGGAATTCTCCAACACAAGAAGGCACATCAAATGAGTTCAGGTCGATGACTGAGCCAAAAAGCCCACACGGCAGTGAAAAGAACGCACACCCCTCTGCAGTGTGAGTCCTGAACCCATAACCTGGCTCTCTCATTTGGACATATGCAAAAGATTTCAAAATTTTTACATTGTAGTTGCTCGGATCCAGAACTTCTGGGGAAAGTTTAAAGTAACTAATACTCTCCTGAAAGGACACAACATTTCAACCAGAAATGCACCGAAGCTAGGAGGGGTAACTTAGCTATTCAGTGAAACTCTGCCTCAAAATAACAAATTAAAAAGGGGGGTCTGGGGATGTACCTCAGTGCAAAGGCCCTGGATTCAACCTCTAGTACCAAAAACACAAAGTTTCTACTTTCTCAGAGTGCATTAAATTGATCTCTAATTCAAAGAGTTGTAGAATATACATTTAAAAAAAAATTTTTTTTTTGAGACAAGGTCTCACTGTGTAGGCCAGGCTGGCCTTGAAGTCACTATGATCTTCCTGCCTCAGGTTCCCAAGTTCTGGGATTACAGGTGTGTGCTACCGCACCTAGCTGTTTTATTCTTCTATATAGCCCTATTTTTATACTAAAAATGAAAACCTATAGCTTTGATTTTCTTGGTGAGAGATAAACAAACTTCCCTTGTATCGCTAACCCTGAATTTTTGTTGTTGTTTTTTTTTCGGTACTGGGGATCGAACTCAGGTCCTTGCGCTTTCGAGGCAGGCACAGTGCCACTGAGCTAAATCCCCAGCCCACCCTGAATTATTTTCAATAAATATGTTTAAGAAACGGACAAAATTTCTAGTGATTTCCAAACAAGTGTGTAGGTGACAGTGCTTTTTATCTCCATTCAAAATATCTTTAAAACTGCAGTTAAGTATTTTACTATTAATTTTTAAAGTCACATGACTGTTTTCACCTCAAAGTGCTCTTTTCCCCACAGCGAACACACTGATAACTATTCAATCATTTTTTAAAATTAAAAAATATCACCCAATGCTTTATTAAGCCAAAACAAAAATTAAGAATAATTTTTCAGATTCTGGTCTCAACTTTCTTTGATATTCAGTGCAGTAGTCTTCATATTTGTTACCATGGATTTCAAAAGAATAATCCACATTTCTAAAAGCTATTTATATAGAAAGACAAAAGAGAACATAATGAAGCTGGAGTCTTTCCATGTCACTGTCTTTGGGGTTCAAGCAGTAGGAGCCATGATGGTGGTGGAGCAGTACCATGGCCAGGTTCCAGTGTCTGTACTTCACACTGAAGGATGGGAAATTTTGAACTGGGGCCTTGGTGTACCTCAGCAGTTGAGTCCTCACCTAGGATGCTGGAGGCCCTGGGTTCCACACCCAGAGCTCCAGGGGATGTGACTCATAAGAAAGTTGCTAACCAGAGCCTTTCTAGCTTGGGACCAGCAACCCCATGGTACTGCCAACATGTTTCAGAAGATGCTAAGAAAACCCATAGTTCAGACCTCTTTGAGAGCAAAACAGGCTGTTTGGATGGTTTTTGATAGAAAATATTTTGGAAGGCAGCAGCCTTCCTTACTTGTAGCCCAGTTTCCTTTCCAGGGGCTCCAAACACTCAATTGTATCTCATTTATTCTTCTCAGTGGGAATCAGAGCCAGTTCCAAGAGACTACATCTTTTATAATCCCACTCCCATAGCAAAATCGCTCAGGAGCAAGGAGCCCACTTGTTCCCACTCCATATTAAAATTCAGCCAAGATTCCTTGATATGGGGCTCTTACAATATTTCCTAAAATGCAGAGGCATTCAGGGTATTTGTGGACTGTTATATGCACTACAATATAACTTAATACCCTGTAAAATAACATAAGGGCACTTTTTTTCTTTTTGATGTTTGGTTAAGCCTTGTAGGGAAAATGGCTCAACTTTAGCTAAGCTATACTTTTTTTTTTTTTCTGGTACCGGGTATCAGACTCAGGACCTTGTGCTTGTGAGGCAGGTGCCGGAACCACTGAGCTAAATCCCCGGCCCCTAAACTCTTTTATTTCTGATTAAAAAAATCAAAATCATCGGCTGGGTGAGACGGTGGCCACCTATAATCCCAGCACACTAGAGGCTGAGGCAGGAAGATCACCACGAGTTTGAGACTAGCCTGGACTACATTGTGAGTTCAAAGCCAGCATGAACTACATAGTGAGACCTTGTCTTAAAAAAGAAAATCATATAGAAATAAACTACAAGCAAATTTCTTCTTTCAAAGCATATTGGAAAATAAGCATTACCCAAAATATATTTGCTATTTCAGCTTCTGCAATGATTTGTATTCAGTGAACACTTTCAGATATTTAACACTGATACAAAAGCTGTTATCAAAATGTATAAAGGAGCTGGGTATGGTGGCACATTCCTGTCATCCCAGCTACTTGGAAGGCTGAGGTAAGATGACAAGTTCTAGTCCTGCCTGAGCAACTTAGGGAGATCTGTCTCAAAAAAAAGGGCTGAGGATGGTAGCTCACTTCTCCCAGGGTTCAATCCCTGGTGCTGCAAATAAAGAGAAACAAACAAACAAACAAAAACCCCTAAAGATGCTTCCAAAAACAAGTGGTCAAGTCATGATGCTTTTATGCTCTCCTTAGTGGGGGTTTGGGCTCCAAGTCATCCTCTTTGGTCCTTGTACACTGGTGTGAGCTATGTGCTTCTGGGTAGCAACGCTGGATGAGCACACATCTCTACATTTGATTGGTTGTTTTTGTTTTTGTTTTTTTGGATTGGTTGTTTTTTGAAAGAATTATTCCTCTGCAAAGCCACTGCCCTCCCCCTCATCATATTGCTAGCAGTATGGTCTCAACTGTGGTTAAAATTTAAGTTTTAAATGAGCATTTACCATAAATCTCAGGACTCTTGTGTAATAGGGCTTCTACACACCATATCGATTTAATGTATTTGGGATGATGAGTTCTGTTGTAAAACCACCTTAAATAACATCCCCAGAAATAACTGGACTCAATGGCAAAAGAGGTGTTTTGGAGTCCTGTGTATTTTAAAAACAAGCCAATACAATTAAAACTTTCCACACACCCAAATGGCTTTATGCAAGATTAACAAAATCTGATTATGTAAGCTAAGACAAGTTAATTACTTATGCAAAGATGAAATGACTTAATTTTTAGTTTGTATTTCCCAGCTACTTAAAGAGTAAACATTTGTCAGTTTTCAGAATTCCACTTACTTTATCTGAAAGAACTGAAGGATCAGAATGCTTAGTTGTAAGACTTTACAGGTTTTGCAATCCATCAGGTTGCAATTTTAGGTACTACAGTTTCTTCCCTAGTGTAAGCCCCTGTTTTAATTCCTCCTAAACTTTTTATGCTGAAGTATGAGAAAAAATATGAGAAAAGGAATAAAAAAATGAAGTATGAAACCGTTATCAGTGTTACATAATAGTATTTTAAATTTCCAACATACATACTGGCTTACCTCTCCTTGAAAAACAAATACAGCGTATCAAAAAAGAAAAACTACCTTGGGGGTGTGTGGAGGAAGTATAGACATGGAGAAACAAGACAATAAAATAGTGTTGCGTGACAAAAGAAAGTGAAGACGTCCTGTTTGATGACACTCTCAGTGATTTATTAAAGGCCACAGGCAGCCAACTGAAGACAAGACAAGGTCCTACAGCTGGCCAAAAGTTGGTAACCAGAGGGAAACAGGGCTTTAAGGTTTTTTTTTTAAAAAGAAAAAACTGTGATAAAAAATCCCCAAAACAAAGCAAGCAAACCAAAAAAACCTGAAGAATGTGTTCCACTAGAGCCTCCTTGGCAGCTCAGATCGAACCAAATGACTCAGGTGGAGGATTAGAATAAACTCTGCGCCGTTCTTTCACGAGGTCTATAGAGCCCATAAATTATGTTTGGCTCAGAAAAAACATCAGGCGCTATTAGTATAGCACCTTTCTCTTCCACTTTAATATTCTACATATTCAGCAACAGTTCTTAGCCCAGGGGCTTCCTGTATCGCCTAAACACGATCCTGGGTGCCTCTGGGTGATCGCTCCTTGCAAAGTGGCCCCCTGTGACAGCAAAATGAAATCCCCCTCGGTAGAGCGAGGGGCGAGGCCGCGCTAAGTCACCCAAAGGTTGAAGTACCTCGCTTTTATTTACTTATTTATTCTGGAGGCGGCGATGGCGGAGGCCGGGCTCGGACGCGGCTGGCGTGGTGGTTGGGGTCGCGGCGGAGGTGGGGGGCAGCCGCGTTCTCCCAGCGCGACTCCCCGAATCCAGTCTACCCACCTTCCCCTTCCCAGGCCCCGCCCCCGCCCCCGCCGCCGCGGCTCCCGATCGGCCGCCACCGCCGACGCCTTCCGCAGCCAGGCCCGCGGCCCCCCGAGCCTCGCCAGGCGGGGACCGACCCGACCCCTCCAGCCGCGCCCCTCCCCCGCGGGAACGCACCTGCGGGCCCGCCCCCGGCCGAACGCCGAGGCCAGGCGGCTCGGCCTTCGAGGTACCGTGACCTTCCCTTCCCCCGCCATTTCGCCCACCCTCTGCGCTCAACCGGCGGAGCCGCTGCCGCCGCCACCACCGCCGCCGCGATCCTCCGCCGCCCCGAAATCTAAAGGGCTCAGTCTCCAGCACCACAACCAAATGGCTGAGCCTCCCAGGCCGGCTGCGCAGCCCGCCCATTGGACCCTTCCTTCCCACCCGCCGCCACCACCATTGGCTGATGTGCGGACACTCTCGGCGGCGACTGGCTGGAGCTGCTGCCGCTCGTCCGCAGGGCCGCAGATCCCGCCTCCACGGTGATCAGGTTAGTGTGCGCCGCGGGTGCTGGGGGCTCGAGAACCAAGCGGAGCTGGTTGAGCCTTCAAAGTCCTAAAACGCGCGGTCGTGGGTTCGGGGTTTATTGATTGAATTCCGCCGGCGCGGGAGCCTCTGCAGAGAGAGAGCGCGAGAGATGGAAATGGACAAACGGATTCATTTAGAGCTGCGGAACAGGACGCCCTCTGATGTGAGCATTTGCCAAAAATATCTCTGTCGGTCCATTCTCCTACTTTGTGTGTGTGTGTGTGCGTTGGGGGGAGGGACTTTTTTAAGGGGGGCGCCTGGGAGGTGTGGGCTTGGGGGTCGGACTGCAAACGAATTGAAAGGTTGTTGGGGGGGGGTTGCAATGCCATCCGCGCGTGTTCCGCCGGCTGCCGCTGCCCTTGGTGTGTGACTACCTGTGCGTGTGCTCCCGCGTGTGCCAGTGTGGGTGCGAGGGTGTGTGTGCTAGTGTACACCCATCAGGGGCCGGCGCACGCGCCGGGGTCGGAGAGAAAGGAGTGCAATCACCCTCGGGGCCCGCGGCTCCCCGACTCCGCCTGGGGGGGGGTGATCGGGGGATGGGAGGAGAGGGGCTGCCTCCTAGATTCTACAACAAAAAGGGAGTGTATTTCATAAATGCGCCCCTCCCGCTCCCCCTCTCCCGATCGCACGCACACAATAAGTTTTGGGCTCCGTGAGTCCGGTTTAGTTTTGCTAAATGTGGGCCGAGGCCCCCCCGGGGGCGCGTGGGGAGGGGGCCGCGCAGAGTTGGGGAGGCCGAGTTCCGAGTGCGCCTTCGTCTCTTTGCAGTGATGAGGCGAGAGACGGGGGAGCCATATTTGTAACTTTGTAGTGTTCGTGAACGCGCCCTTTCTCTCCCTCCCTCCCTCTTCTCTGCCTTCCTTCCTCTGCTCCTCTCTCTCCCGCACTCTTTCCACCCCACCTTGGGGCTCGATGCTGAGCTTTCTCGCTGTCCTTCCCCACGGAGGACCCAGGAGGAGGTGGGGAGGGATTGGGGAACGTGCAGAAGCACCGAGGATCATCCCCGCGCTCCCCACAGCCCGCGATCGCTGTGCAAGTTGCCCAAAGGCGACTTCCCGGTCCCCGCTCCCCAACACCCTGCTCTGAGGCAGCCTTGACTCCCACCTACCCCACCTCGGCCCAACCTGCTTTCCCCGGGGTGGGCTCCCCGACGGCCATGCGGCGCCAGGCTAATAAATGGGCACGGAAACTTTGTTAGGACGCGAGCAGCCTGGAGCCGGAGCCCACGGGGGGCACGGGCCCGGTCCACACTGACGCGGCGGTCGCGCAGCCCGGGATGGGGTCTGCCCGGGGTCGCCGTCACTCACTGGGCAGCGGCCCGAGGAAACTTACGCGGGTGGGAATGAGCGAGCCCACCGCCGCGGAGGGGACGCAGAGTGTGGTGACTCGAACGCTGCTTTTTATTTCTGGCTCCCTCTCGCTTCCCAACGCGCGTGTTTTCTGCGAGTTGGCGGCACTGTGTTGGAGACCCCTGGGTCTCAGGCGGAGACGCCGGCCGAGTTCCCGTGGGCCCCTCGGGGGGACCAGGGACGCGCGGTCGGAAGCGCCCTTCAGCCTCGGTGGCCGGGGTGGCGCGGACTTTGGGGAGCAGCGCGCGCCAATCATCGCCCCTCCAGCCAGGGAGCCCCGATTCCCTGGCCACGCAGGCTGGCTTCTTCCTCTTTCGCCTAGTTCCTCCTCCTGACCTGGGCGAGACTTTTGAAAACAAAATCCTTTTTGTCGCCGTCCCCCACCCCCCTTCCTAAGGCAGCTGTGCACTGTGGACGTGCGAGCGCCTCGTGGCGCGCGGGGCGCAGAGGGGGCGCCGCGGCGCCGGCCGGAGTTTCCGCGGACCCCAGGTCGCTGCGCCCCGTTCCTAGCCGGCGTTGGGGGCTGGGCGTGGTGGGGGAGGGGCAGTCGCGATCTTCCCGCGTACTTTCCGGAAGACCCCCGCGCCTCGGGGGGGTGGGGTGGGTAAGGTGCCCTGGAGGGGCCGGGGTCGTGCCCGACGGGTGTGCAGGCTCGGCCCGGCGAACCTGAGCGACACTGCTGGCCAACGCGACGCAAGATCTAAAGCGGGTCGAACCGGCTCTTTAAACTTCCCGAGTGTGCGCGAGGGGCGGGGCGCGCGCCGGGAGCGGGTTCTCACGCTGCGCCCCTCGCCCTGGGTCCCCGGCCCTCGCGCGGCCTCCGGCCTCGAGCCTGGGTGGGGTGCGGGGGCGGGGGCACTTTGGGCACATTTGGGGGGAGGGGGAGAAAGCTCGCGAAGGAGGGACAAAAGGGGTGGGGGAGGAGAATCTGGTTTTTTGTTGGGGTTTTTTTTGGGTAAAATAAACGTCCTTAAGACCAACAGCTCCTCGCGTGCGCCCCTCCCCGCCGCGATCCCCTTCGGACCCCCCCCACACACCCACCTTCGGAACCTCTCCCAACTCGGATCCTAGAGCTGGTGGCCACCCCGCGACGCCGAACTAGGACGAGCAGCCATGTTTCCTGGGCTCCCGCGACCGCCTGCCCCTCCCCCACGGCGGGCGCGGGGCGCGGAATGCGGGGCGCGGGCGGGGAGGGAGGGTTGGCGGGCGGCCGGGGGCTTAGGGTGCGCGCTCGCCGCCGGCCAGGCTCCCCGAGCAGGTTGCGAGCTCCGGGTGTTTTATTTAGGGTTGGGATTTTAACAGCCAGGCCCGCTGGGGGCCGAGCCCTAGGGTGCCAAGGCGTTATTGGGGGGCGGGGGCAGCCGCCTGGGCCCAGCGCGCCTGTGGCACGACTGCCGGGCGCCGGGCTGCCATCTTGTCACCGTGGCTGTTGTCGCTGTGGGGGGTGGGGTGGAGCAGAGTCTTGCGCCATCGACCCGACGGCCTCTGGCGCTCAGGCGGCGGGGGAGCTAGCTCCAGAGACCCCCCCCAACCCCCCCACCCCGTGGTGCTCTGCGCCCTTTGGGGTTTCCACCCACAGCCTGCGGCCTTGGAGGGCGAAGATCCCCTCTGCCAGCCCCCCACTCCCACCGGGCTCCCCGTCTCCCCCGCCCCTCTGCGCTCCGGTATTGGCGCCGTTCCTCCTGCAGGCAGTCTAGACGTAGTTAAATATGGCCTTGAGGACGAACCGATCGCCCTGGCGTTTGCCTTTTCGGCGGAAGTCATAGGGCGATGTGCTAAAACGTGAAACCAGAGGTTTCTTTTCGAGGACTGGGAGGTAGGGTGGAGGGGTGCGCGCGCGCGACTCTAGTGCCCCTGGCTGAAGCCAAGGACAGCAGTCTCTTCCCTGGGAGGGACGAGTTTTCGGGGAGGCGCCGGGAAACGCCCTCGGGGCAGGGCACTCCGGGAAGGTAGGTCGGGCTCCGAGTCTCAGGTGGGTGCTATGGCACCCTACGGGCTGTGGGAACCCCCTCGCTTTCTCCTACTCTCCTTTTTTGCTGAAGGGAAGGAAGGCAGCTTCCTACAGTAGTAAACGTGACTTGGTTTGCTTTTTCAAAAAGTAAATGGCATTTTTCTGGCTATTGACTTAAGACCCAGGCAGTGCATTCTTGAACTTCAATGCTGGTGTCTCTGGGACTTTAAGAAAGCGATGGCAGGTTTTGTTTAAGGAGGACCCTGGTGGCTGGATGGAGACTAAACTTTCATGGCAATGTCAGGCAAAGGCTGCCCTAGAAATCAGCTTTTCCTTTGACCTTTGGAATATATTGCACGATGTTTTCCAGGCTGACTTACCGCCTAATTGGGTTCAAGTAGTCTGATATTAACTCCAGTTTGTGCAAGCCAACCAGGGTTCACAGAAACTGAGATCTCCGAAGTCATGATCAGCTGAGTTTTGTTAACTGGCAGCTGCTGCTGATTGTAGTTTTGATTCCGGAAGCTCCAAGGAGAAGCTGGGTTCTGGAACTACACAGAGCTGGCCTTGAATTCTCCCAGCTCCCAAGAGGTAGGATCCTGTCCCACCTGACCTGGTGTAGGTTACTTTTAACCCACCTCTTTGATGCTTGGTTTCCACTAAAATGGGAACAATAGTCCTGTTTAATCAGTAAGTCACAAAACTGGTTTGATTTAGCCCTCGGTAGATGTTCAGTATAGGATGATGTTGTTCTCAGAAAAATGTTGGGGTGCAGTCAGGCATAACTTTGGGCTTCATGGTTTAGGATAACAAAACAATAATAGCTGGTGCTTATATAGCCCCATGCTGTGTCTGGCACAGTGCTAAGGGGATTACACGAATCAATTAATACACCCCAACAACAGCACTATGAGGTAGGTGCTATTGTTAGCCTTGTATCAGGCTTAAGGAAATTGAGGCAGAGAAGGGTCATTGGAGGTCGAGTAAGTGGCAGAATCAGGATTCAAACTCAGACAGCTCTCGAAGCGCCCTTTTTTGTAAGGCACCGCAGGGAAGAGCTTTTTCTTCTCTGACTTTGGATTGGTGGCACTATGAAGAGACAGGTTTCCGGGTATTGAAGGCATTGAATGCTCAAAGGTATTAGGTGGGGGTTGGTCCGGACCACAGGTTCTGGACTGATGTTCAAAGGGGAAGCCAGGCACGAATTTGGTTTAGCACATCCCATCTTATTAGGCTGAAATTAACCTGGCCTGTTAGGTGTAGGGAGACACTTTCTATGTAATGAGAAGACAGGCAGGGGCTGCTCTTCAGCAGTGGTTTATATGGGATCGTACGAGTAATCCCTTTGTTTTTTTGGTCTCCACCTGCAGCCCCAAAACAACACAATTGGCATGTCCTTAGTATCTGGGACATAGCATACTAATAGTGCCGTGTGGATCATCTCAATCCTCCTATCAACTCCAAGGGTAATCCCAGTGGGGCAATGGCATTCTGCAGAGAGAGTGGATCAGCTAGAGTTTGGAGAGGTTGAACTGGCAGGCAGCAGAGCTCTGTTCTCCCCGTGTAAAGCCAGAGGCCCCTTGAGTGGACAGGAGAGACTTTGAGGGTCCTGGAACCTACTGGAACCCAAACATAGTACCCTGTTGTTACCAGAATCCCCTGGGAAACGTGTAAAATGCAGATTCTTGAGCTCACCCTGGCCCTGACATCACAGGGTCACCAAACTACACTTGCCTGTTTTGGTTCTGCCCATGAACTAAGAATAATTTGTACTGATATACATTGTGGTCTGTTTTATATGGAAGACTAACTTTGAATCCCAGTTAAGCAAAATGTCATCCCCACCCCGCTAAAACTGTACTT